GATATAATCAGCTCAAAAGGAGGGAGAATGAAATTCCCAGCCTGAAAAGGAGCGGCACATGTGAAAACAATGCATTAGAGATGCTGTGGTATAGTTATATGTGATGGGGGCTGAGACACTGATGGCTCAGAGGGAGGATTCTCACCTCCATGCTGGGGGGTCAGGTTCGATTCCCAGCCAACCCACCTCATGCTCAGCCACCAACTTCTGTCAGTGGAGACCTGCATGTTGCTGCAATGCTGACCAAGTTTCAATGGAGCGTCCAGATGAAGAGAGAGTAGCAAGAAAGGTCTGGTGATCCACTTCTGAAAATCAGCCCATGAAAGGCCTATGGATCACAACAGACCAATCCCCAACTGATCACCAGGATGGCTCAGGGCCAGGCAGTGTGTTGTTCCATTGGGCACTGGGTCGCCATGAGTTGGGGATCAATTCACTTATCACTATGCTCTTTCTCTTCATCAGGCCAGTTCACGGAAGCATTTTAGAAATAAAAACAAACACTACTGTCAAGTTAATTCCAACCTATAGTGACCCACTGGGTTTCCAAGACTAATCTTTACAGGATGAGACAGCCTCGTCTTTCTCCCAGGAAGTGGCTGGTGGGTTTGAACCACTGACCTTTTGATTCGTGGCTGGGTGCTTAATCCACTGCACCATCAGGACTCCTTATTTAGAAATAACACAGGTCTTTCTCACTGAGGAAACAGACCTAACTAGACTGATTAACATACAAGATCTTTTTTTTTGTTGTTTTTGCTGAACTCTATCCTCCAAACTTCGTCCTATCCTCACATAATAAGTGGAGTGAGGCTGAAGAGCCTTTGGCAGCAATCCCAGAGACTAAAACAGTGAGAAAACAAGAAAACACAGAACATAATATCTACCCATAAATCCAACTGTAGTCTTAGGGCTCTGGAGTGTTTTAAGAGTTATGATTTCCCTGGCAAAGTACCAAAAAGCCCATACTTCTGAAAATGATTCTGAACAGCCATTTGGCATCTAACCATGTTGACAGAATGAAAAATGTTGAGTATATGGGCTACGTGTCCTTTGCCATTCCTGAAGAAGAAGAGGAAGGAAGTTTTCTAAGACTTCAGAATGCTCATCCTTTACTACGGAATGTGTTCATGAGGCAATTTCCAGCTCACTTAGAAAACAAAGTGAATCTATTTTTAGTTTTTATAGGTATAGATACCTTGTCACATAGAACAATGTCTGAAAGGATACCCGAAAACTGATTCCATTGTTGTTGTTGTTAATTGCAGGCCAGTTGGTTCCAACTCATAGCCACCCAGTATAGGGTTTCCAAAGAGCAGCTGGTGGGTTTGAACCACCAACCTTGTGGTTCAAACTGATGTTGCAATCCAGTGATTATCCTACAGTACCACATGAGTGGTAATCTCTAGGTGTGACGGATAACAGCAAAAAAAAGCAGTTTCTGTTGAGTCGACTCCCAACTCACAGAGACCCCAACACTCTGTCAGGGCAGAACTGTGCTCCATAGGGTTTCCAATGGCTGGGTTTGGGGAAGTAGTTCTCCAGGTCTTTCTTCCAAACACTTCTGGGTGGCCTCCAACCTCCTACCAAGCCTGCTAACCTGCTACACCATCCAGGGACCTGAAGGATTCCATGTGTTCTTCATTTCCTTCTCTTTTTGCCAGTTGGTGCTTTGTCATCTTCTATAAGGAGCATGCACTGTTTCCAAGAAGAGAAATTAGGCTGACCAGTCCTACAAGCAGAATGTGCTGGATGTCTAGTTCAGCTTTTTAATTCTGATACATAAAATTAACATAAACTGTTCCTTAATCTAGTTAGTAGGTTAGTATCCGAACACAAAACCTACAACCATTGAATGGATTCCAACCCACAGGGACCCTGTATAGGGTTTCCGCTTCTGAAGCTGTAAATCTTTATAGAAGCAGAAAGCCTCATCTTTCTCCCAAGAAGCAACTGGTAGGTTTGAACTGCAGACCTTTCAGTTAGCAGTCTTGTGCGTATCCTATAGCACCACATTCTACCTGAACACAGAAGGGAATAAAAAACATCCCAGACATTATACGAAGCTTTGAAAATGTACTATATGATGATTTTGTCTTTCAACTTAAAATTTTCTTAGGCCAAAATTAAAACAGCTATGAACTGCCAGAACAAATAAATCTTTCCTGGTAGAAGTACAGCCAGAATTCTCCTTAGAAGTAAGGATAGTGAGATTTGGCTCATGGTGAACACGTTATTAGAAAGGACCAGTCCCTGGAGAAGGGCATCAGGCTTGGTAAAGTGGACAGTCAGGGAAAAAGAGAAGATTCCCAATGAGATGGAGTGACGCAGTGGCAGCAGAAATGGACTCAGATGTAGCAATGATTGTGAGAATGGTCCAGGACCGAGAATTGTTTTATTATACATCAGGTCGCTATGAGTCAGAACTGACTTGACGGCACCTAACAACAATGTGCTCCTTCATGCAGACTGGTCGATGAAGGAAAAAGATATTGTTCAAAGGAATGGGTCTAGAGTGTAAAATACATCGTACATAATCTATACACTGGATGCCTCACAAAACCCAAATTAATCCCTCTGCGATAGAATCGATTCTGGCTCATAACAACTCAATCTATGGTTTCCCATATTGTAATCTTTATGAATACAGATAGCCTCATCTTTCTGCCAAGGAGTGGCTGGTGGGTTTGAACCACTGTCCTTTCAGTTAGCAACCCAGTGCCTAATGCACAGCACCACCAGGACCCTGGCATGCTCCACAGGCAAATGAAAATAATTGTCTACAGTGAGAATCTAGGACAAGTACTTCACTGCAAGATCGGTTTGAACTAAAAGGTCAGCGGTTCAAATCCACCAACTGCTCTTCGGAAACCCTATACAGGGTTGTTATGAGTCAGAACCGACTCAATGGCACTTAACAACAAACAATAACAATTAGAATCAGAACCACTTTTTAAACGCAGGCTGATCTGAACTAGGGCTACAAGCGCCTGGGATGTGGCATGTTGGCCTCTGCGGCATCTGACGGAATACAGATGTGCAGATGGAAGATAGCAAGACAGAACACCTGGAATCCCAAAGGTTCTTCACACTCCTCATTCTGAAGCTCCAGCTTTTCATAATCAACGGACACTCTTTTAAAAGGAGCTCCATCTGAGTCAGCAAAGGATTTCAGAAGAGATAGGAAGCATTCATCTTAGGGCTAAAGAAAAGCATACATCAAATCAATGAGATGTACAATACCGCTCATCCCTCAACACTTAGGAAGGAACTGGCCCAGAAAGATGTGTCTGTAAGATATGTCTTCAATGAACTATATTGACCCTTCCCCAACAAGACAAGGATTTAGATGGTTTAAAGAATTGTTAAATGTACAAGGGGGACTTCAAAAATTAATGGAAAAATTCCATTCTCTTTTAATTCCATTTTCCACACATTTTTTTAGGTCTCCTCCCCTCACCCACACTTCTTATCTGATCTGCTGAACGTTAGTCACTATCTTGTTCATTCTGATTTGTACTGACTCTATCACGTGAACTCCCTCCTTCAACCTTATAACTGGTTGCCTATTGGAAGACCTGTGCTCCACAGGGTTTCCAGGGGCTGATTTTTCAGAAACTGGTCACCAGACCTTCCTTCTAAGACAATTCTGAATGGGCTTGAACACCAACCTTTTAACCAAGAGCCAAATGTTCAACTGTTTGCACCACCTAGAGACTTTCTCTAACCTTGTAAGGAGTCAATTTCCCCAAACTGATAACTAAACAGAATCTTGGAAAGAGTACATTTTTGCAAAGCTTTAACAGGATTTTTCATTCCCATCACTCCTGGATTGAATTTTGCCCCCACAAAATACGAAGGGGCTTCAAAAAGTTTGTGGGAAAATACCATTCTCTTTTCATTCCAATTTTCCCCCAAACTTTTTGAAACCCATTCACATGTGTCAGCTTGACTGAGCCACGATTCTCAGCCATTTGGCAGCTATGTGATGATGTAATGTGGCTGTTATGATCCCCCTTGATGGGATCTTATAAACATCCTTAATCCCATCACAGCCCTGAGCTGATGTTAGCGGAGTTTCCCTGGGGACAGAAGAGGGACATAACACCACCAAGAAAGAAGATCTGGGAGTGGAGGGCATCCTTCGAGTTTAGAGAGGGGAAGCCCTGTGCTGGGAACCTTCTAGGTCTAGGGGAACATCAATGACAAGATACATGAAGATCTCCACGCATGCTGACAGGAGACAAGGACCCTTCCGCAGAGTCGGCCAGGAGAGAGAGACATCACCTAAAGCCAGTACGCTGACTTCAGACCTCGAGTCTCCTAATCTTGTGCTTGTTAGAATCACCCACCTGTGGAATTTCTGTTGTCGTAGCCATGGAGGACTTGTTGTTGTTGTTGTTAAGTACCGTGGAGTCGGTTCCGACTCATAGTGAGGACCCTGTACATGGTTTCCAAGGCTATGAATCTTTACAGGAGCAGAAAGCCTCGTCTTTCTCCCGTGGAACGGCTGGTAGCTTCGAACTGCTGACCTTGAGGTTAGCAGCCCAATTCGTAAGACATCACACAACTGCCTCAGACAGTGGAGTCTCCACACTCCTCCTACCCTCAACGCTGAGAGAAACCTGAGTCCTTGCCCCACTCACTTTCCAGGTCCCTGATTCTCCTTCCTAAACTCAAAAGAATCTGATGACACCAAGCTGGCCTGGAAAGTCTCCACTAGCTGGTACAGGAAGAGCAGGCATGTTCCTACAAGAATGCTTTCTGTCCCATCACATGCACCCTGATGTTAGTGGGTGTTAGAATCACAGGTTTGGTGGTAGAAAGCCAGTTTTTGCTGAGTCCAGCACTGGGGGGAGGGAAATAATGGAACCCCTCCCCACCACTCACAGCCATCTGTGATTCTGACCCCCACTGACGTTGTAGAAGAGTAGAAATTCCCCCCATAGGGAACTAAATCTTTATGAGAGCTAACAACTTCATCTCTTTTCTGCAGAGCTGCTGGTAGCTTTGAACCACCAACCTTGCAGCTAACAGCCCAATTCTCAATTCATCACACCTCTTTTCTGGACTCATAGTCCTGTGCTTTCCAGTGTACCTCAGGTCCAGAAGAGGCTTCTGGAAACTTCTCTGATGACTATCTTGTGTCACAATTCCATAGCTCTCTCTAGCCAGAGAAGTCAGCCATGTTTATTAAACCCATGGTAATACAAAGATTAAGCATTTGGCTGCTAGCCAACTGAAAGGTTGGTGGTTCGAACTCACCCCATAGCTCCACAGGAGAGAAAGACCTGGTGATTTGCTCCCCTAAAGATGACAGCCTAGGAAACCCTCTGGGGCAGTTCTACTCTGTCACACCAGGGGGCGCTGTGAGTGACTGATATATATGAGTATATATGAGTATATAGTGACACAATAGATGACAGCCTAGGAAACCCTGTGGGGCAGTTCTACTCTGTTACACCAGGGGGCGCTGTGAGTGGATGAT